CAACAACAACAAAAATGATCATGGCCCTATCATACTGCCCCCACAGCGTGAAGTGACAGAAAGTTGGTATACCGATTAACCGTGATAAAAAGGCGCCCTTACTCAAGTAGCCTACACCGATCGAATCATAGCGATGCTACATAATCCCATAAGATTCTACACCGCATGCTGCTATCAGATCAAATACGCTCTATATAGATCCACGGGCTGCTACTATAGTGATAGCAACATGCACTGAGCCGATCTACCATCAATCGACACCCCAGAGCCTCACCGTGGATCAGTAGCGACTTGGGAGACTTGATATGACTTCGAATGTTTCGCAACACGATGCAACGCTGTTGCGAGGTTAATGCCGTCCATTCTCTCCAGCTCATCAGCGACCAGCGCCAATACCTACTATCACCTCTACTGTCCACTATACTACCGTAGCTCCCACCTGACCGCTGGTCTTGGACTTTGACAATCTATGCTGCAGTGCCAGACACTCAGGGTTCGAAGTGAGCTGAGATCAACACTGTATTGATGATTATACACCCATCCCAACGAAGACACCTAAGTGCGTCCAACGAGCTTGTGGACGCATAGTATATACTCAGTGGAGACACCCTCGTTAGGATACTTATGGCATCGTATCGTCCCTCCCCCCTTACCAGAGACTCCACATTCGATGAGGATCCCTGCAGTAGACTCTCTAATCGGCCCTTCTCCGGTGTCAACATGCTCTTTTCCATGAATTCAGTAACCTACCAAATCCTCGATGGTCTCGGTGGTCGCCATATTACTTCGTTCTTGGTCTGGACCTCAACCTCATCTGCTGTTCTTGGAGGCTCTTTCCGATCCATGGTTCTCTCCAGAGGATCTCCCAGTGTCGAAATAGACGCCTAAACGAGCTCCCACTGGTAGCATCATTTCACAACAGAGAAAATACAAATGTGAACTAGTGTTAGAGGGAACTCATCCATCCGTCACGCGCCATGAAATTCCAACAAGTGAACCCGTCACCCACAGCACTCCACTCGATATCAACACCGCCAGATAAATGCTGAGATCACACGGGCTCACCATAGGTACGAAGCCAACTTGGGGTAATTCGCCAAACTTAGATTTCAGGTCCTCCGCTACTTGGCCCTCCTCGAAAAACTCCTCCAAAGCCTTCGTTGCCTGAGCACATAGGAAGCATCACGACTGAGGGACCCAATCAACCACGAGCAAGCTACGACCATCAGGATGTGGGGTCGCCAGTAACCACCCAAGACTGCTGCAAAAGACCCTCCTAATCCACAGAGACCGCCACCAACAGTCACTAGTGGTATTCTCCCTACTACGGGAGAACTGTACAACAACACTACCGAGTAATGTTGGTATACAATTCTCCCGTACAGATAAGCCTCGAGCCCAATATGACCTGTGGCCCCTCCTCTACACTGCCCAGCTCCTCCCTATGCTTCTTCCTGGCCTCCCGTCGATCCTTATTCAGCTGAGTCACCTTCACGTACTTCGACTGACTCTGCGTTCGTATGTCAGCCCAGAACGCATCACCTTAGTGGTGAATAAGATCCTCTGCTGTACCTCCACTTACGCTGGGCTATTGCCGACTTCCCTAATTTCGCCTTTTTCTTGTCCGCAAACGCCCCCAAGTGATAAGCCTTCTCAAACTGCAAGGAGCCTCAAAGACCTTAAACTCATCGGAGCTGTGACCAACCTTGCCGCCTCTATCACGCCTTATTATCTCGGAAGTCACTGCTGGGCCTCGGCCGACCTCACCGTATTCGTCCATATCCCCCGGAGGCTCATCAAAGACGTTATCAAAGGCCGAAGAGGAGCCAAAAGCAGCAGCACGAGTGACTAAGACGGACAAGTACCCAAGCTACTGCCGAGCATTAGCACTACCTGCCAGTCTACTGCTACTGATCCCAGTCCCTCCACGACGCGTTAGCAGCCTAGGAGAAAGAGCCACCATGAAATGCAATGATGAGAACTCAAGCGCCTCTTCGGGGAGCTCACAGTGCCGAAAAATAATTTGACTACAACTCAACACAGAAAGGCTGAGAAACAATCCTGTTGGAAAAATTCTGTCATGTCACCAACGCGATTCTAAGACGCCATCGTGGCAGCAATCTTGTCCATCTTCTCAGCAAGAGAAAAATCCTGAAAAAATCAACATGCCATACCACGACGAAAGCAAGACTCCCCTACCTTCTCAGTGACCCCTCCAGCAT